ACTGATAGTGACGCTGAATACCATCACGATAGTGATGACGGTGCTGAGAAAGATGATGACGATGATTACGATGATGATTATGTGATGATCGCGACGACGACGACGACGATACGGATGACGATGATGATGATACTGATGATGCTGATGATGATCACCATCATCATTCTTGGTTGGCATCAACCAAGCACTTGAACCCGCGTCGCTCTCAAACGAGGGGCGTTGCCCGGATCAGGATGAATGTCGTTGTCCACCCCCACACCCCATGCAAACACCATGTTCGAAGGCTTCGCGCGGCAGTCTCTACAGCAGCAAAACACACAAGCAAAAACGTTACCTAGATAAATATCGAATTCTCACCAAACGTGGACACTGTGCTACACCAGCGCAAGTAATGAAAGTGGAAGGCGTGCTCACGAAAAAAGCAGCGGTGCGATCGAGGGAGACAATGATTGCAGACGGCGGTGATGTCCTGTCAGCTCCCGGGCAATTCGACAGCAAACTAGAATCATCACTCCTCGTATCTACCCAATACCCGGTCCACTCCGATGTCGAACGAAAGGCCTTGCCCCGATCATGATGAACGTCATTCGTTAATTCCGCACCAGTGCACACATGATGTTCAGAGGATTCGCGCGGCAGTCTCTGCAGCAGCAAACCACACATCAAATAGCTCGGGTCCTCACCACAAGTCTCGCCACAAACTGACGAGAGCTGGCTCAGGCGTAAGTCGCCTGGGGCTCCTTCACGATCCCAAACGTTACCGCGAAAACCTCAACAACGAAGACATATGCGAACACGCCAAAATACCTCACCGCCGTTGCACATTATTCACATGTGCCAGCGGCCTGAAGATCCGACGGTGCATCTGGTACCGCACGATCGAACTGCATGACCTCCTCTTGGCACGCTGCTGCGCGTCCTGCGACGCGGGCCCTTTGTTCATTCGGTTTTCAGATGGTAGAGCCACGCGTGGAAAAGGAAGGACACATGTGTACATATATGTATATATATATCAACCTATACACATTCGCAAGGGAAAAAACAATGTATGAATAACAAATTCTCATGGGTAGCTACGACAAGCATGATTTAGAAATGGCCCAGCGCACGCGCATTCCGGGTTGATCACATGTTTCTCAATGTCTACTTTTCCGAAGGATTGCAATGCACGGCGGAGCACGGATCCAAATGGTTGCGAAACTAATCCTGCGAAACAGCAATTACCCATGAATGTCGAACACCGCTTTGAACTCAAGCGCTACTTTGTCGGCAACTTCCAGCGCCTCCCTGGCCCAATCTCCTGACGCGCCATGATCGTTCATGAACTGATCACCTACCCGCTGCGAATGCTACCGCCATCGCGCGACGTCTACTTCTTGATCGGGTGACAAAATGCAAGTTCCACGAGGTCTGCAGGGATGCAGTGTCCATGCTTATCTTTCAAGTCCATATCAAGCGCACCCATGGTTTCCATGTGTTCTTGTTTGAGCAAAAATTCGCACGTCTGCACGTTGTCCCCAGACAGATTCGCACACGGACCAGCGGTAGCACCGTCGCCCCCAAGACATCTCGTAAATTCACATCTCGCATTCGCGCGCTGGCCGGTGCAAGACTCGACCTGGGGGTCCCCATTGGCCTTTGCCCGGATTGGCCTCTATTGCGCGCTGTCTGCGTGATTTGCTCCGCCCCTGGTCCTTCTCTTCTTCTTGATCCCGGCGCAGTGAAAATAATTCTGCCGCTCGCCAAGCATGAATCATGAAAGGGAATCTTCGTTGGCCCCACCTTTTCCCTCATATGTTGCTTGGCCCCCCTGAAATACATGTTCCCCGCCGCTCTCCAAGCGCGGAATCTCGGATGAAATATTCGCCGGCCCCTTAGAATGGAGCGCGGATGCCTCGAACCGCCGACGAATGAACTATTCGCCGGGCCAATGACACGGGGCGCGGCTGCCTCGAACAGCTGCCGAGACAGAAGGCGCACCGAGGCGCTGGATTGTTCGCGTCGTTTGGGGGGGCGCGGGGCGCCGCGGTTTCCGCGGCCGGCCCCGCCTCGAAATTCTGATTGGACGCGTCTCGGGGCGGGTCCGGGGCCGTCGTCGCCGTCGCGGCCGCCGCTGTCGCCGTCGACGTCGTCGCCACCGCCAACGCAAAAGCCAGCGCCGCCGCCGCGTGGCGGTCGCGCGCGGGCGCTCGGCCCCGATAGCATCAATGAGATCGTTTTCAGCATTCGACGCGCGCGGCTGGTGACGCGCACCCTGGGCAAATCAGATGTGGGTTGGCGACTTGTGTTTTGGACGCGTCAGTATACCAAGCTTCAAAATTCGGGAATCACAAGTATGCGGTAAATCCGACTACTGCGATATAACCAAAACGGGCGTCGATGCCAGTTCGCTGCATCCAAGTCGCGCGCGTGCAAAAAAGGACGCAACCTGCGGCACCCAAGGTCTTAAATCACGCGACTGCGTTTTGCTGCTAGTCAACTTATAACGCGATTGCGCTCGGGGCATATAACCTCGGCTGCGGGGTTGATAACCTTGGTCGTGCGACTTGCAGGCCCACTTATATGTCGCGCAACTCCGGCGGTCGAGGAAGTCCTCGGCCGGTCGCCCCCCCCCGGAGGCGCGCCGCGGCGGCCCCCCGCATGGCTGGCTCGCCAAGGGCAGCCACGGAACGCTCTCGGCCGCCCCCTCACTCCGCAGCATTGGTTAGTTCACGAATTCACGAGCTCCCGCGGCGGCGGCCGCGACCCCCCTGCCCTGCAGCCCGCGCCCGCCGCGCCCGCGCGACGCCGGGCGAAAAGGGCGGCAGCCGCAGATCACCTCGGCGACCTCCGCAGTCGCCCCCGCCCCTTCTCCACGTCTGCCACCCGGCCCGTTAGCGGCGACCCCGCCGCGCCGAAGTCCTCGGCCGCCACCGCCTGCTCGAGCGCCCCCCGAACGCGGACCCCCCCGCCAAGGGCGCCCGACGCGGGCCGAGAGGGCAGTGGCAGTGGATCCCCCGGCTGACCTCCGCAGCCGCTGCAGCGCCTGCCGCCCCGGCAACCGACCGGCCCACGAGCTCCTTCGGCGGCGCCCCCGCTGCGCCGGAGCCCTCGGCCGCCGCGACCTGCCCGAGCGCCCCCTGAACGCGGGCGCGCTCGCCGAGGCAGCGGCAGCGCATCCCTGTCCGACCTCCGCAGCCGCATCAGCACCTGCCCCTCGCCCGCCGAATGAGCCGCAAGCCCCCTCGGCGGCGCGCCCCCGCGGCGGCGGGGCCCTCCGCGGCCGCCGCTCTCGCCTGCTCGAGCGCGCCCCGAACGCGAGCCCGCCTGCCGGGGGCGCCCGACGTAGGCCGAGGCGGCAGCGGCCGCAGCCCCATCGCCGACCTCCGGCGAGCGCCCGCCCCCATCAGCCCGTCGTTCTCTGCGCGGCACCAAACGACGAGGCCCCCCCCACGATGAGCGGCGAGTCGCTCGACGAGCCCGCCGAAACCCAGCCCCGCGCGCTCGCCTCGCTGCGGGGCCGGGCGTCGGGGACAAGGGGCCGTCTCTCCTCGGGGGAGCTGCCGTCTGCTGGCGGGGCCGCCCCCGTTGCTCGCAAGTGCACGTCGGGGCCCCTGGCAGCCCGCGCGCTGCTCGGCGGGCGGCAACTGGCCGCGCTCGAGGGAGGCGCGGGCCTCCGAGCTTCCTCGCGCGCCTCGGCGGCCTTCGCGAGAGGGGGCCGGCCCGCCCAGCGCCGCCGGCTCCCCCGACTGCCGGGGGGCCAGGGCCGCGGCAACTGCGCGGCCCACTAATCCCGCCCTGCGCGCGGCGTCTGCGAGGGCCGCGGCTGATCCGGGGGCCGCGTCCTCTACGGGGCCTCGAGCTGCGGCCCACGGCGCCGCCGGCGTCGCTGGCGCGCCCTCCTCCTCGGAGATTGGCCCGCCGTCGTCCGCGAGGCTCGCCCCCCTCCCGCTCTGGCGGCCTCGCCCCGCTGGGTGCAGCGCCGCTGAGCCGCCGTCTCAATTGCTCCTCGCGCGGCGCGCTGGGCTTCAACGACCCCCCCCCCCGCCCCTCTGGCGGATAGCTCCGCGCGGCACTTCGCGGCCTCGGCGACGTATCTGCCGTCGCCCGCAGTCGGCCCTGGCCGGAAGATGGCCCTGCGCCTCCCGAACCACCTCGCCGACCTAATATTCGAGGTTCCTGATCACCCAGGCAACCGGGGAGTTGGGGGCCCCGAAACCCCGGCTTCCGGCGGAGCTAACGCGGGCCGAGCTGGGGCGGAGCCCTGGCCCGACCCCCGAGGCGCGCGCAGTGCACTTCCCATCGTTGCGCGCCGAGGGCTCGCGGGCACCGCGATGCCCGAATCGGCGCGCGCATGCGCCGCCTCGGGCGGTTCGAGGGCGCGGTCCACATGCGATTGCCGCCCCAAGTGACATCCGCGCAATGAGCCGCCAGATCTTGTCGGCGCCAGCACTGCTGTGAAGATGTGAATGACGGATGAAAATAATCGATCATGCCCCTCCCCTGCGCCTTCCCCCGCGGCACCCCGCCCTCCCCTATCGCCGCTCTCGGGGGAGTCTGCAGCGATGTCTGGCCCCCGCGGCCCTTCGCAAGGTAGAATGGACTCGCGCGCCCAGAGGGCGACCGCCCCTTGCGAACGACTCGGGCGCGCGCCCCCGTTGCCGCGATATCTCTCGCATTGCAAGAGGTCCGCGCCGCCGAGGCCACGACCCGCCGCAATTCGGAACCGCCCGCGCCCCCAGGGCGACGACCCCGCGGCATGCGCGCCCGGCCCGCGCCCCCAGGGACGCGACCCAAGTCAAATTACGCGGGGCCCACGTTCACGGGAACACCGCGCTCTAGAAAATGCGCGGCACCCGCGCCCCCCGAACCCCAAAGAAAAGAAGCAGATACAGGGTGATCCAGGCAGAGTGGGAAGGCGCGTGGATGGAATTTCTGATTTGGCGCGCCGAAGGCAACAGCGTCGCTGCTATGCGCACGACAACCTCGCGCCGAGCCGCCATTGCATTAGCAGCAACACCAACCTCCATTCGATGCACAGCGTTCCAGCCAGGAGTTGTGGACCAACAAAAAAGTCATGCAAATCCGATGAGTGATAGATTGGCCCAACTGACTTTGCGAGGCAACGCGCGACGTCGCCCCCAGCACGGCGCCGGCTTCAAGGTCCTGAGAATTCATGTATTGCAGGAGCGCAGGCGAACGCCACTGCCCAGCCTTCAGAATCGCCCCCAGTAGACTGCCACCTTCAAGCATGTCCTGTGCGCCCCCCCGCGATCGCAGCGCACGAGCGGGCGCGGTGCTCGAGCCTGCGCGCGGCCGCGGCGCAGGTCGAGAGGCCGATGCAGCTGTGCCTCGGCGACAGACAACATGGCCAGTATCCTCCTCAGGGACCGCACCGCCTTGCCAGGTGTTAAGCTCGGAAATAATTTCTGCCCCTGGGCACGCGTCGCCGCGATCTTACCGAGCACGTGCACAGGGCAAGACTCTGGATGCTTTGCGCGCCAGCAACCGCGGACCAGCTCAGTGCCCGACGGCACATTCTTTCTGCTGACCAATCGCAGTCGCAGTTCGCCACCGGCGACACGCAGGCAGGAATGCACTTCGCCCGCGGGCGCGGTCGCTCCCCACACGCAAGGGATCGCCCCCCATAGAACGCGCAGCAGGAAGGTATACGCCAATAAGCACAGTACTTGCGTCTCTCTCAGTTCGGCGCCGCGCAGAGCCAGTCGCAACATGCGCACGACCATGCTGTGCCTGATATACTTCTTCTTGCGTGGGACAAACAGCCGTCGCTTCCTGCGCGCGCCGACAGACCGCGCGACCTGGGCGCGACCGCCCCGCGTGCCCCGCTGCCGCCTGATAGCAGTACGAGCCCGCGCTAGTTCGGGCGCCTTGAACACTGCCGTGTCCGCACGGCAGAGCATGCACACGGCGCGCACGAAGCCCAAATAATTCGCGAACGTTCCGCTGCACCGAAAGAGGGGCGCCCATGCCAACAAAGATTCGAGGGCGGGCGGGATCTGGGCGCCGCCAAGGCCCAGGGCGCCCTCGCAGAACCCGCTCCAGCACCGCATGCCGCTTCGTAAGCTTGCAGTGGATCGGGGGCATGAGCCCAGCAGCGACCGCACGCGCCCCCTTTCGACCCAATTTGCGCGAGCCGCTGGCGCGCGCAAGTGGCACTGCAGCGATGCTGTGGCGGCGCGCGGACCTTTGCCTGAGCACAACGCCGCGGGCGCGATGTCATCCCCCTCGCCGGCTGTCGCCGCGGCGATGGCGTCCTCAACCGAATCCAAAATATTGAATGATGCTGCTGCCAGCCGCCTCGCCTCACCTCGCACTGGGCTGCGAGACCTTCGCGGAGCCGCCGCGGGTCGCGCCCCGTTTCGCGTGCCTGCGAAGCAACGATGCCCGCGGCGGGCGACGTGCGCCGGGAGAAAAGCACCTGCGAACCGCCGCCTAGCTTCGGAAAGGCGAATGAGCTCAGCCAGGAAGGAGCACATGCCGGGCCCGAGAGGGCGCCTTTGGCCATTAAGGTCGGCCGCGCAAGCCCCGACCAATTCCTCGATGGCCCGGAATCCGTTGGTGGACAGGATCGCCGCAGCAAGCGCGACGTCCCGCGCTTCGCGAGCCGGAGCCAGCGATTACAAACACTCAAAAAAATGTGGTGACGCCACCGCGCGAGCCTCGCCCATGGCTGCGAAACGCCGCCGCGCGCCCACTGGTCGGCGGACTGCGCGTGCGCTGCGCGATCCCCGACGACCTGCGCAGGTGCCAGCTGTGGCACTGCGCGACCTGCGGCCACCCCGCTGCGCCGCCTTCGCTCGACGCTCGCTGGCTGCACTGGCGGCCGTCATTTGAAACGCGCGGTCGCCGCCGACAAGGCTGACCACGACGTTGGTTCCCAGAAGGGACCGTCGAGCGCGGGTGGCACGCGCACAGCGCCGAGCAAAGCTAGCAAGTCATATTCCTCGCGGGAGGGGAGATCCGCGATATTGAGCTTGGACGGGACTCTGTCAATCCGCAGGGCGATATGTTGCTGGGCTGCCTTGAGCCACAAGCAATTTACCAGGCAGGAGTAGTCCCATTATTTGGACGACCCCCTGCTGGTCACGGTCTCGGCCCCTACACTATCGCTCCACACCCTGACTTTGCGCAAGAAGGTGATCAAAGGTGCAGAGCCCGAGCGCAAGTGCGAGCAGCTCCAGGGACATGATCATCCCGTCCGCACGCTGCATAAAGCAACTCATCAAGCTGTTGGGCGGCTCCCAGTCGGCAAAGTAGATCTGTTCATCGCGCATGAGCACCGCCGCCACTCTCGGCGGAGTGCTCCTCGCATCCACAAACAATTGGATCCACTGGGGCCGCTGGGGCAGATCCACTGCCTCTTCTCGTGCAATTCAAAGGCAGGGACCTCGTCCCACCAGCGGAGAGCATCACGGAGTGGTTCGGACATGTTGGCCCGACTCTGTTTGGCTTGCCGATACAGGGGCACCATGGTGGCCCTGCCCAGGCGGTGGAACATATTTGTCGACGCCCATCGCAAGGCTCCGGCGAGATTGGAAGCGTCGCCGGGGCGCAGCGAGTTGCTGTTCAAAGCACTGTGAATTCGCGAGCGCCACTTGACGACCTTGTCCGCGGAAGGTGAGCATGAGAAACCTTGCCGATCCGCGCTCACATTGAGCCCGAGCACTTGCAACTGCAATCCCCAGCCCATCTTGGCCGGCGCAATGGCCTCGCGACCGAGCATGCAACGCACCAGACGTGCTTCGCAGTGCAGCGCGCGCACGGCCGATCCTCTCCGCTCCGCAGCGAAGAGGTCGTCGACAAACCACAGGAGGGGCACGTGCAGCACCACGCGAGCGACACGCGAGATTAGAGCTCCCACTCGCCCCCATGCGTGAACGGAAGCGACTGCCCCGAAAGGCGCGGCGCAATGCCGCGCTGCGTGCGCCACACCCTGAACCAAGAAGACAATATAGAGCAGCGCGCTGTGTAGTGGCGACGCCGGGACGCGCCTGAACGCGGAATCCACGTCAGCTTTGAAGAAAGCGATTGGCTCTTCAGTCTCCAGCGCCAAGCGCCTGGAAGCTTCGAAGAGCAGGTCCACGCCCTCGGGGCGGAATTTCTCGACCACAGAAATGCAGCTGTTGAGCTTTGACCGCGACAAATCATCAATCGGCTGGACATTGACGCTGCCGTCCGGGGTCACCTGCTCAACCCCGAATCGCGGTGAGAGAATTACGGAGCTTAAATCGAGGTCGCCGACTTTTGACAGGTCGCGCATGCGTCCCGCTGCGACGTCCTGCGCGGCGACGCGAAGAAATTCGCTCGCGTGCTTGTCTTCGCGCAAAGGAGATAACATTGCAGCGTTGGCGTTCGCTGCCGATTTCAAGAGATCGACGACCGGCGTAGCTTTGACGCGCGCTACCGGCGCGCCTGAGCCAGAGGGAGGCAGCGGTCCCGCTACGGGCGCGCCCCAGCGGAAAAACTCGATGCATGCCAGATCCTCGAACCCCGCTCGGTGCGCGAGCCTCTCCAACAGCGGCCCTGTCACGCCCTTTGCAACGCTGCGCACCTCTGGGCTGGCCGAGAGCATCCAACGCGCAGCCGCGCCGCTGGATACCAAATCTTCGGCCTCAAACTCTATCTGGCGCACAATGGCCTCGCGGTCTGCGTTGACCTGTTCAGCCGTCCGCGCGGTGACCCAGCTCAAAGCCTCAGAGACCTCACTAGGCAAACTGCACTCCTTCTTAAAAGCAACAGTCTCGGCGACCGCCCTTGCGGCGAAATCCAACATATCCATGTTCGCTGCGGATTGATTTGGCACCTGCGCGCGACGCGCAAAAGCTGCGTCGCGACTCGCTGAGCGGAGCGCTCCGGCCTGGCTGAAGCGATTTGCCACACTGCCCGCGCGGCTTCGCTGAGCCCCAGCCGCCCATGCGCGGGGCGGCGAGGGGGAGTTGGCAGCTGCCACGTCGTGCGACGATTGCAAGAATAAAGCCAGGCGATGCAAGTGTCGCGCGCGCCCTGGCGCCACCGCCCCTGGGCGCGCCGCCCCGCGCTTCTCCACGGTGCTGAAACGCGCGCCGGACGGTTGTAATCCGATCGCGACGCTGACAGTCATGCGAGGCAAGTGCAGCGCACGCCCTGGCGCCACCCCCCGTGGGCGCGCCGCCCCCCGCTTCGCCGCGGTGCTGAAGCGCGCGTCGGATTCTTGTCTCACCAACGCAAAACTGACAGAGGGCGCGGCAGGGGCCATTGCGGGAGCGCACATGGGCGCCGCGCCCCTCGCGGGCAGCACTGCCCACTTCCTCAGGGCTGGCCACTGCGGGCCTTCTTGAAGGGCCTGGGCGGCGCGCGCGGCTTGCGGTCGCCTGAAGCCCCGGCGGGCCTGGGCGCGCGGCCTGCAGTCGCCAGAGGACCACGAAGAGCGGCCGCTCGACCACGTGCCGCGATCTTGCCAGTCACCGCGCGACCACGAGCCGCGGCGGTCGCACTGCGTTCCCCCGCCTTTGCCGCTGCCGCTGGCACCTCTAGCCCCGCCTTTGCTGGCGGCCCCTGAGCCCGCGTCGGGCTTCTCGTCGAGGTCGCGCGCGTCCTCGGCCTGCGCGGCGCAGGGGCGTCGCGATCTGCCCGCGCGCAGCGCGCCCGGCCGTGCCCTTCCTGGCGCAAGACCCACGAGCTGAATTTCACCGCTGCCTTCTCCGCGTTGAAATCATGCTCGCCGGCCCTCGTCCGCTCGGCCCACATAGACCGCGCGAACTCGCAGAACGAATGCGGCAACGCGTTCCTGGCGCACGCTGCGCGCTGGGCCTGGTCGCGGTGAATGGCCAGGTGCGGGCGGCGCTTGTGCGCGTGGGCATTCATGGCCACGCGCAAGCAAATCTCGCGATGCGCCCACGACGCCGCCAGGCTGAGCTGGCCTGTCGCGGCCGCCGCCAGCACGTACCTGAGCGAAACGCCGACGTAATCTCGCGGCGGCGTTGCTTCGCGCGACCGCGGCGCCTGTTCCACGCCGCCTGCCACTGCGACGAAGTCAACAGCGTCTTGCGATTTCCCGCCTGGCCGTTGGCCTCGATGGCGCTGGCCAGATCTAGAAGATCCTGCAGCGAAAGCAACGCGCTGCACTGGCTCGATCGCAAAACCAGCGCACCTTGGAGAGACTGTTCTCTTTGTCCTCCTCCTGGAGGACCTTCTTGAGAGCCGCGAATTCAGGGGGCAATTTCTTCAAATCGACCAGCACAAACGGCGAGGCAACGCCGACCTTTCTGAGCTTGGCCGCCTCTGCGGCCAGCTCGTCCACGCGGTGCGAACTGCGCGCGGGGCGACGCCGACGACGTGCCGCGCGCGCGAGCCCACGCGAGCGCCTGGGCCAAAATTCCGCGGGCAATCCCTTCACACTGATTTCAGACACCACGCTGGCGAGATCGAGGTGCGTCGCCTGCATGGCGCCGAGAACGCCGCGCGCGCGCAACCCCGGTGGACGCGGCACCTCGTCAGGCTTCTTTCCCGAAAGCAACGCTTTAAGCACCGCCCCTGGGTCAGCGACCCCGCGCTTCGCCGCGCCTTCCTCGGCGGCGGCGGCGAGAGCCCTGCGCACGTGGGCTTTATGACCAGCGTCAAGGCCAGTCTCTCCCGCAGGGAACGCGAAATCCTCGATGCAGGCATCGGCGAGCTCGCGCCAGTTCCGCACGCCGGCTGCATGCAGCGCCTCAGCAATCTTGGTGTACCAGGCTGCATCACGCCCATCGGCACCCGCAACCTTGCGGAGCGCTTCGGTCAACGCGGCCTTCGCGGCTTCGTCCGTCATTGCAACAAAGAAACAAGCGATGCGATACTCGCGCGCGCCCTGGCGCCGTCACCCACGGGCGCACAAAACCCTCGCATCGCAGCGCTTCTGAACGGCGCGCCGGGTGTCGCGCAAAAGCCAATCGGGCAGGGGAAGCCACGCGCGAGCTGCGTAACACAAGGATGGCCTCTCGTGGGCCGCCGAGCAAAGACCCCCGAGCCAGCTGGGGTTGCTCTGCACACACACACACACGATTTGGCCGCCTGCGGGCCGCCGAGCAAAGACTCCCAGGTCAGCTGGCAAAAGCGAGACCACACATGGGCTGCTGTGCACACGATTGGCCACTTGCCGGCCGCCGAGCGAGACTTCAGGGTCTGCTGGCAATAGCGAGCCACACATGGGCTGCTGCGCACACGATTGGCCACTTGCGGGCCGCCGAGCGAGACTTCAGGGTCTGCTGGCAATAGCGAGCCACACATGGGCTGCTGTGCACACGATTGGCCACTTGTGGGCCGTCGATCGAGACTTCAGGGTCCGCTGGCAATAGCGAGCCACACATGGGCTGCTGTGCACATGATGGGCCACTTGCGGGCCGCCGAGCGAGACTTCAGGGTCTGCTGGCAATAGCGAGCCACACATTGGCTGTTGTGCACACGATTAGCCACTTGTGGGCCGCCGAGCGAGACTTCAGGGTCTGCTGGCAATAGCGAGCCACACATGGGCTGCTCTGCACACAAAACGCGTCACGCGGCCACGCATGGGCAGCGTGCACGCCACAGCCCTCGCGGGGACCCAAGCCCAAAGAGGCGAACGCACAGCGCGCAAGGCCGCGTGTGCGGACGGGCACCGCGAGGCCGTCCCAACGCCACTCGCACCACGGTGCGGTGGCACAGCGCAGCGGGACACGCCCCCGCCAGCTGCACAGCAATGGCCAACAAGGCCAGCGGCCGCTCCTGGGCGGACCGCGGACAAGAGAAAGCAGGAACGCAGAGGCGGCAGCCGCACAGGCAGAGCAGCACCAGTATACCTCTCCCACCCACGGCCCCGCACCCCGACCCTCCCCCCGTCCCGAGGACGAGGAGAGGGCAGGGGAGCAGGGCAGGGGAGCAGGGCAGCCGTGGGAGCGGCATTCGTGCAAGCCCACAAACGCAGCGACAGTGCAAGCACTGTCCCTGAGTTTGTGGGCTCATAGAAAAGAAGCAGATACAGGGTGATCCAGGCAGAGTGGGAAGGCGCGTGGATGGAATTTCTGACTTGGCGCGCCGAAGGCAACAGCGTCGCTGCTAAGCGCGCGACAACCTCGCGCCGAGCCGCCATTGCATTAGCAGCAACACCAACCTCCATTCGATGCACAGCGTTCCAGCCAGGAGTTGTGGACCAACAAAGCAGTCATGCAAATCCGATGAGTAATAGATTGGCCCAACTGACTTTGCGAGGCAACGCACGACGTCGGCGTGGGGCACGCGAGAAACCAACCAGACAAGATTGTCGAAAACGCGCCCTCCAGGGGGCAAGAGGCAGGCAACGTGCTCAGGCCGGGGTCAATGGCACGCACTACTGGTAAGCTCCTCGACAGCTTGCAACCTCCACCCCAATTTTGCTCGTTGGACATGCTACAACGTACGCTCCCGGTGCATTCCACTCGTCTCCAAACGGCGATGTCGCACCATCGCCAGTCTGTTGCTGGTTCAAGACCACCTAGGTCTGATCATTGCTCGGCCCTCCCCGCATCAATCGGGAAATAGACGCGGTCTGCGAGACATGATCAAGATCTGGCAACGACTCGCGCTCGCCTCTGAATATTCTCCTGATTCGTGAATCTTCTCCCCGGGAGTACACGTAGATACTGTGGCGCACGCTGGAACTTACTCCCCGGAGTACTAACTTCGCGAAATCAGCCAAAATCATGTTCGGCATCTCGCCTCCACTGCCCGCTGCTTTGCGCATCGTATTGCAACTGCGGTGGTAATCATCGTCTCGTTCACCGCAGTAGATATCACCGTGTACTTGTTGGGCCGATAGCCTCACACCTGTGCGGTTTCCTCATCACCTTCCCCTGACTCGGTAGTCACCTTCACGAAGATCTGTGCGATGATATCATCCTTAACGTTGGAACAAAAACGATGTAACAGCGGGCGCGCGCGCCGCTCCCTTTTCCAGCTACCACGAAGCGCCGCCTGCGCTCCGTCAATACTTGGGCCAAACGCCCGAAACGGCAGGCGACTGGCGGGTTTAAAAAAGGCAAGAAGGAGCGAAAGGTAACGACTAGTTGGCTGTGAGCGCCTGGGTGTGAGCGTGGGTCCCAGGGGACGACGGGTACGACGACGACGACGACGGCGGCGGCTACGATGAGGGACAAAGACGACGACGAACAGACAGAAGGTCGCCGAGCAGGCCCCCTCTCCTCTACTTCCTCTTCCTCCTGGTCGTAGCCACTCCCAAATCCTCCTCCTCCACCCATTCCTCCTCCTCCTCATCATCATCATCATCAGCAGCAGCAGTATCAGCAGCATGATCAGCATCCTCCTCCTCATCATCAGCATCATAATCATCATCAGTAGAATCAGCATCAGCATCATCAGCATCATCAGCATCATCATAATCATCATCATCATTATCATCATCATCATCAGCATCATCATCATCCGCATCCACATCAGCAGCATCATCATCACCATCAGCAACATCATCACCATCATCACCATCATCACCATTCATCATCATCATCATCAGCATAATCAGCAGCATCATCATCATCATCATCATCATCATCATCATCATCATCATCATCATCATCATCATCATCATCATCATCTCACCACCACCATCATCATCATCAGCATCATCATCATCGGCATCATCATCAGCATCAGCATCATCATCATCAGCATCATCATCATCATCATCGTCATCATCATCATCGTTGTCATCCTGATCCTCATGCTCCTCTGCAGCGTTCTCCTCCTCCTCCTTCATCCTCCTCAGCCTCATCCAACTCCACTGACCTTACCAGCTAGCATTCTCCGTGTTCCTCGGCTCGGCGGGCCCCAGAATCCTGGACTCATGCGCTCGCTGTATCCTGGGCTCGCCTTTTTTCGCTCTGGGGTTCGCGCCCCCTTTTCCTTGGTCTTGCTCGTTTCCTTCGGTCGAGGTTTTTCTGGCGCAGGTATGTGGCGACAGCTGTGCATTGGCATCAACAAAGAAAACGAGAGAAGAGAAAAAGCAGAGGAGGCAAGGGAGCGCAAAAAGGGAGAAAGAAGGGAAGCAAGGGAGAAGAGACCAGGATGGACGAGACAAGACGAGAGAGGAAACGGCAGGACACGGGAGGAGACGGAGAAGGAGGAAGGACGACAGAGCAGCAGCATGTGCAAAACGAAACTCCAAAACTACGGACGACAGAAGTAAAGATTCAGCACTCTTGAGCGGCACGCAAAGACTAGGAAGCGTTTTGCGACTGCGACGCGATTGTGAAAATCTCTGGCTGCCCCGCAATCGAAGCAGCGCGACGTCTGGGGCAGTCCTACGCCTTGCAAGCCGAGAGCTGATCTCGCACCTTGTGCAAAACTGAAGGCTGGACTGCCGGAGGACTTTGAACAGGACGGGCAAGGTAGTGAAAATTCACGGCGCATCGCGCTCCCAAAGAGTCGGGAACGGATCAGGCGCCGTCAACCTTGGCCATGTGGCAGCACAGGTCCACGAGGCGGTTGGAGTAGCCCCACTCGTTGTCGTACCAGGACACCAGCTTGACAAAGGTGTCGCTGAGGGAGATGCCAGCGCTGACGTCGAAGATGGACGAGGCCTTGCAGCTCACAAAGTCCGTGGACACCACCTTGGTGGGAGGGCGCGCCAGCCACGTCGTGACACCGATACTGGCCAGGCGTCGCCGTCGCCGTCGTCGTCTTCGTCGTCGTCGCTGTGACAAGGTCGGTGGGTGCGGTTCCCCCCGGGCCTCGCCAGGAGGCTCGCGCACCGATCCTGGGCCCAGGGTCGGCTCGGCCACGATCGGTGCCGGCTGCCGGCGGATACCCAGGTCGCCTGACCGTGCGCATCGCGCCCCGCCATGCGCGGCTGCCTTCGAGCCCTCGCGCAGCCCTCCTGGACAAGGCCAGCTCTCGGGCCCAGACCGCGACGCGCGAAGCGCGGCTCTCTTCCCGCCCCCAGCCGGCGACCCAGGGATGATTGGCGTCCCCCGACACCTCCTCGTCGGTCCAGTCCAGGACGCCCTTCATCGGGCCCGCGGCGGCCTCCTTCACGGCTGCCACGATCTCGTCGTACTTCGCGCCCTTCTCCAGGCGGCACGTCAGATCCACCACGGACACGTCCGGCGTGGGCACGCGGAAAGCCATTCCTGTGAGCTTGCCGTTCACCGCCGGGAGGCACTTGCCCACCGCCTTGGCGGCGCCTGTGGAGGACGGGATGATGTTCTGCGAGGCGCAGCGGCCCCCGCGCCAGTCCTTGCCGCCGCGGGACGGGCCGTCCACCGTGAGCTGCGTGGCCGTCATCGCGTGCACCGTGGTCATGAGACCCTCCACGATGCCGAACTTCTCGTGCACCACCTTGGTCAACGGGGCCAGGCAGTTCGTGGTGCAGGACGCGTTGGACACCACGGTGTCCGAGGCCTTGTACTCGGTGTGGTTCACACCGACGACGTAGATCGGGACAGCGTCCTTGGGAGGGGCAGAGATGATGACCTTCTTGGCGCCACCCTTGATGTGCAGCTCAGCCTTCTCCTGGGCAGTGAACACGCCGGTGGACTCGCAGATGTAGCTGGCGCCCGCGGCGCCCCACGGGATGGAGGCCGGGTCCTTCTCGTGGAACACCGCGATGTCCTTGCCGTCCACGATCAGGAACTCCTTGCCGTCGGCCACCTTCGTGGCGATGGTGCCCGGGTAGCGCTTGTGCACGGAGTCGTACTTGAGCATGTAGACCATGTACTCGAGGTCCATGAAGGGGTCGTTGATGGCCTTCAGCTGCACCTCCGGGTTGCCGAGCGCCGCGCGGCACACCAGGCGGCCGATGCGGCCGAAGCCGTTGATTCCCAACGTGGCCGGCATGGTGTTCAAGTAGCACGCAGGCAGGAGGGCAGGGCGAAACCTAATCTGGAGCCAGAACGGCCTGAACCAAAACTGGAGCTAGTCCCACCAGCCCTCCAGGGCTGAGGTGGTCTGGCGCGGCTCCTCTTCCAACCCCCTTCTTCCCCGTCGGGGGGGGGCGTACCCCTCCCCCGATCCCATGTCGCAAGACTCCCCCACTCGCCTCATCAAGGATACCGAAAGGGAGGGACACCAGGCCCGACGAGTGCAGCTGCCGCGCTGGGATGCCATGATCCTTGATATCATTCTTGGCTGGTCTTCCGTGCTGCGTTTTTCGCGGCTGGACTGCTGTGCTGAGGTGTCCTTGGAGGCCGCTGGGAGGCCTTTTTCGGGCCTCTTGGATGATGCCTCTTGGGGCCTCTAGTGGGCCTCTCGGGGGCCTCTTGGGGCCCGCCTGGGGGCCTCTTGGAGACTTCTTTGTGGCCTGCGTCTGGCATCAACCATCAACCAGGCAAGCGAGACAAGCAGGGAGCGCGAAAAGGGAGAAGCAAGGGAGAAGAGACCAGGATGGATGAGGCGGAAAAGGAGGAAGGAGGACAGAGCAGCAGCATGTGCAAAACGAAACTCCAAAATCACGGACGGCAAAAGTAAGGATTCAGCACTCTTGAACGGCACGCAAAGACTAGGAAGCGTTTTGCGACTGCGACGCGATTGTGAAAATCTCTGGCTGCCCCGCAATCGAAGCAGCGCGACGTCCGGGGCAGTCCTACGCCTTGCAAGCCGAGAGCTGATCTCGCACCTTGTGCAAAACTGAAGGCTGGACTGCCGGAGGACTTTGAACAGGACGGGCAAGGTAGTGAAAATTCACGGCGCATCGCGCTCCCAAAGAGTCGGGAACGGATCAGGCGCCGTCAACCTTGGCCATGTGGCAGCACAGGTCCACGAGGCGGTTGGAGTAGCCCCACTCGTTGTCGTACCAGGACACCAGCTTGACAAAGGTGTCGCTGAGGGAGATGCCAGCGCTGACGTCGAAGATGGACGAGGCCTTGCAGCTCACAAAGTCCGTGGACACCACCTTGGTGGGAGGGCGCGCCAGCCACGTCGTGACACCGATACTGGCCAGGCGTCGCTGTCGCCGTCGTCGTCTTCGTCGTCGTCGCTGTGACAAGATCGGTGGGTGCGGTTCCCCCCGGGCCTCGCCAGGAGGCTCGCGCACCGATCCTGGGCCCAGGGTCGGCTCGGCCACGATCGGTGCCGGCTGCCGGCGGATACCCAGGTCGCCTGACCGTGCGCATCGCGCCCCGCCATGCGCGGCTGCCTTCGAGCCCTCGCGCAGCCCTCCTGGACAAGGCCAGCTCTCGGGCCCAGACCGCGACGCGCGAAGCGCGGCTCTCTTCCCGCCCCCAGCCGCGCGACCCAGGGATGATTGGCGTCCCCCGACACCTCCTCGTCGGTCCAGTCCAGGACGCCCTTCATCGGGCCCGCGGCGGCCTCCTTCACGGCTGCCACGATCTCGTCGTACTTCGCGCCCTTCTCCAGGCGGCACGTCAGATCCACCACGGACACGTCTGGCGTGGGCACGCGGAAAGCCATTCCTGTAAGCTTGCCGTTCACCGCCGGGAGGCACTTGCCCACCGCCTTGGCGGCGCCTGTGGAGGACGGGATGATGTTCTGCGAGGCGCAGCGGCCCCCGCGCCAGTCCTTGCCGCCGCGGGACGGGCCGTCCACCGTGAGCTGCGTGGCCGTCATCGCGTGCACCGTGGTCATGAGACCCTCCACGATGCCGAACTTCTCGTGCACCACCTTGGTCAACGGGGCCAGGCAGTTCGTGGTGCAGGACGCGTTGGACACCACGGTGTCCGAGGCCTTGTACTCGGTGTGGTTCACACCGACGACGTAGATCGGGACAGCGTCCTTGGGAGGGGCAGAGATGATGACCTTCTTGGCGCCACCCTTGATGTGCAGCTCAGCCTTCTCCTGGGCAGTGAACACGCCGGTGGACTCGCAGATGTAGCTGGCGCCCGCGGCGCCCCACGGGATGGAGGCCGGGTCCTTCTCGTGGAACACCGCGATGTCCTTGCCGTCCACGATCAGGAACTCCTTGCCGTCGGCCACCTTCGTGGCGATGGTGCCCGGGTAGCGCTTGTGCACGGAGTCGTACTTGAGCATGTAGACCATGTACTCGAGGTCCATGAAGGGGTCGTTGATGGCCTTCAGCTGCACCTCCGGGTTGCCGAGCGCCGCGCGGCACACCAGGCGGCCGATGCGGCCGAAGCCGTTGATTCCCAACGTGGCCGGCATGGTGTTCAAGTAGCACGCAGGCAGGAGGGCAGGGCGAAACCTAATCTGGAGCCAGAACGGCCTGAACCAAAACTGGAGCTAGTCCCACCAGCCCTCCAGGGCTGAGGTGGTCTGGCGCGGCTCCTCTTCCAACCCCCTTCTTCCCCGTCGGGGGGGGGCGTACCCCTCCCCCGATCCCATGTCGCAAGACTCCCCCACTCGCCTCATCAAGGATACCGAAAGGGAGGGACACCAGGCCCGACGAGTGCAGCTGCCGTGCTGGGATGCCATGATCCTTGATCAAAATGAGGGGGCCGAACGGTCATTCATTGTCCCTGGGTGCGTGGCTGAAGATGGATTCTGTGGTGAGGATTATGTTTGTTGCGTTGTTGTTGCTGTTGTTGCTGCTGTTGGTGGTGTTGTTGTTGCTGTTGTTGTTCTTGTTGTTGAATGTTACTTACTAAACAACTATTATCGCTGGGCCACTTAAAGGCGCCCTGGCGCTCTCGCCGAGGCGCCGGCAACGTTTTCATTGAAAATGAGTCTCACGCTCGAGCGGTTTGGGGGACCGCCAAAACCGGCTCCCCAACAACAATAACGCTCCCGCTCGAGACTTCCTCCCGTTTTACCTTGGACTGGCGCGCTCTTTCTCTTATCGGCGCCGCCCCCCGCAAAAACAACGCTCTCGATCGAGGCGTTCTCCCTTTTTTACTCAAGGCGGTGCTCCTCCTCGCCGCCGAAAACCGCCGCCCCGATCCCACCCGAGCCGTCTTTCCGTTTTACGCTGAACTGGCGCCCAACTCTCTTTTGAATTGGCGCCGCTCCCAGCAAGAACAATGCTCCCGCTCGAGGCTTCTTCCCTTTTTCTTGAAGACGGTGCTGTTCCTCGCCGCCGACAACCCCCGTCCCGACAAAACCACGGCTCCCGCTCGATGTTTCCTCTCTTCTTGCTCAAGGCGGTGTTCCTCGTCACAGCCAAAAACCTCCGCCCCGACAAAACCAGCGCTCCCGCCCGAGACTTCATTGCTTCCGTTTTACGCTGGACTGGCGCCCAACTCTCTTTTGAATTGGCGCCGCTCCCAGCAAGAACAACGCTCCCGCTCGAGATTTCCTCTCCTTTTTCCTCGAGACGGTGCTGTTCCTCGCCGCCGACAGCCCCCGTCCCGACAAAACCACGGCTCCCGTTCGATGTTTCCTCTCTTCTTACTCAAGGCGGTGTTCCTCCTCGCCGCCGAAAGCCGCCGTCCCAACAAAGCCAGCGTTCCCGCTCGAGATGTCGTTTAGTTTTACGCTGGACTAGCGCCCTACTCTCTTCAGCATTGGCGCCGCTCCCAGCAACAACAGCAACCCTGCTCGAGACTTCCTCCTTTTCTATTCAGGACCAGGTCCTTGCCTCACCGCCGACAGCACACATCCCCACCAAGGCAATCCTGAGGCGGGATATGTTGAAATTCCTTGGAGGAGGTGTTTGCCAGACCTCACTTGGCCAGAGATCTGGGAATGGGAATAACGGACCCCGCTATAGAACAATAGCCCCCCGTGATGTGGATGGTTATCATGATGGTCGCATGCTTCGTGCGGATACATCGCGCATGAGGGTAAAATGATTGTTGTTGTTGCTGCTGCTGCGGTTGTTGTTGCTGTTGTTGTTGCTGCTGTTGCTGTTGTTGTTGTTGCTGGCGTTGCTGCTGTTGTTGGTGTTGTTGTGTTGTTGGTGTTGTTGTTGGTGTTGTTGCTGTTGCTGTTGTTGTTGTGGTTGTGGTTGTGGTTGTGGTTGTTGTTGTTGGTGTTGTTGTCGTTGTCGTTGTCGTTGTCGTTGTCGTTGTTGTTGTTGCTGTTGTTGGTGTTGGTGTTGTTGTGGTGGTGGTGGTGGTGGTGGTGGTGGTTGTTGTTTGTCGCGACCCACCCGCGACCCACCCCGCGACCCAACCCGCGACCCAGCCCTCGACTCACCCCGCGACCCACCCGCGACCCACCCGCGACCCACTCAGTGACACGCCCGCGGCCCATCCGCGACCCACCGCGCGACCCACCCCGCGACCCACCCGCGACCCAGCCCGCGACCCACCCCGCGACCCACCCCGCGACCCAATCCGCGACCCACCCCGCGACCCAGCCCTCGACCCACCCCGCGACCCACCCGCGACCCACCTCGCGACCCAGCCGCCCATCCGCGACCCATCCGCGACCCACCCGCGACCCACCCGCGACCCGGCCCGCGACCCACCCGCAACCCACCCCGCAACCCACCCCGCGACCCACCCCGCGATCCACCCACATTGCTTTAACGAAAAAAATCGGCGCCTGCGGCGGGCTCCCTGCATATTTGTAAGAGTTAGGCGCCTGCGGCGGGCTCCTTTAGATGATCGCAGACTGACGACGTCCTCGCCACCCCCTCACTCTTATCCGCAACTGCGGGGTGCTACGTATTACTGTTGGCTGGTCTTCCGTGCTGCGTTTTTCGTGGCGGGACTGCTGTGCTGAGGTGTCGTTGGAGGCCGCTTGGAGGCGTTTTTCGGGCCTCTTGGATGCCTCTTGGGGCCTCTAGTGGGCCTCTCGGGGGCCTCTTAGGGCCCGCCTGGGGGCCTCTTGGAGACTTCTTTGTGGCCTGCGTCTGGCATCAACCAGGCAAGCGAGACAAGCAGGGAGCGCGAAAAGGGAGAAGCAAGGGAGAAGAGACCAGGATGGATGAGGCGGAAAAGGAGGAAGGAGGACAGAGCAGCAGCATGTGCAAAACGAAACTCCAAAATTACGGACGGCAAAAGTAAGGATTCAGCACTCTTGAACGGCACGCAAAGACTAGAAAGCGTTTTGCGACTGCGACGCGATTGTGAAAATCTCTGGCTGCCCCGCAATCGAAGCAGCGCGACGTCCGGGGCAGTCCTACGCCTTGCAAGCGGAGAGCTGATCTCGCACCTTGTGCAAAACTGAAGGCTGGACTGCCAGAGGACTTTGAACACTGCGGGCAAGGTAGTGAAAATTCACGGCGCATCGCGCTCCCAAAGAGTCGGGAACGGATCAGGCGCCGTCAACCTTGGCCATGTGGCAGCACAGGTCCACGAGGCGGTTGGAGTAGCCCCACTCGTTGTCGTACCAGGACACCAGCTTGACAAAGGTGTCGCTGAGGGAGATGCCAGCGCTGACGTCGAAGATGGACGAGGCCTTGCAGCTCACAAAGTCCGTGGACACCACCTTGGTGGGAGGGCGCGGGCCAGCCACGTCGTGACACCGATACTGGCCAGGCGTCGCCGTCGCCGTCGTCGTCTTCGTCGTCGTCGCCGTGACAAGATCGGTGGGTGCGGTTCCCCCCGGGCCTCGCCAGGAGGCTCGCGCACCGATCCTGGGCCCAGGGTCGGCTCGGCCACGATCGGTGCCGGCTGCCGGCGGATACCCAGGTCGCTTGACCGTGCGCATCGCGCCCCGCCATGCGCGGCTGCCTTCGAGCCCTCGCGCAGCCCTCCTGGACAAGGCCAGCTCTCGGGCCCAGACCGCGACGCGCGAAGCGCGGCTCTCTTCCCGCCCCCAACCGGCGACCCAGGGATGATTGGCGTCCCCCGACACCTCCTCGTCGGTCCAGTCCAGGACGCCCTTCATCGGGCCCGCGGCGGCCTCCTTCACGGCTGCCACGATCTCGTCGTACTTCGCGCCCTTCTCCAGGCGGCACGTCAGATCCACCACGGACACGTCCGGCGTGGGCACGCGGAAAGCCATTCCTGTAAGCTTGCCGTTCACCGCCGGGAGGCACTTGCCCACCGCCTTGGCGGCGCCTGTGGAGGACGGGATGATGTTCTGCGAGGCGCAGCGGCCCCCGCGCCAGTCCTTGCCGCCGCGGGACGGGCCGTCCACCGTGAGCTGCGTGGCCGTCATCGCGTGCACCGTGGTCATGAGACCCTCCACGATGCCGAACTTCTCGTGCACCACCTTGGTCAACGGGGCCAGACAGTTCGTGGTGCAGGACGCGTTGGACACCACGGTGTCCGAGGCCTTGTACTCGGTGTGGTTCACACCGACGACGTAGATCGGGACAGCGTCCTTGGGAGGGGCAGAGATGATGACCTTCTTGGCGCCACCCTTGATGTGCAGCTCAGCCTTCTCCTGGGCAGTGAACACGCCGGTGGACTCGCAGATGTAGCTGGCGCCCGCGGCGCCCCACGGGATGGACGCCGGGTCCTTCTCGTGGAACACCGCGATGTCCTTGCCGTCCACGATCAGGAACTCCTTGCCGTCGGCCACCTTCGTGGCGATGGTGCCCGGGTAGCGCTTGTGCACGGAGTCGTACTTGAGCATGTAGACCATGTACTCGAGGTCCATGAAGGGATCGTTGATGGCCTTCAGCTGCACCTCCGGGTTGCCGAGCGCCGCGCGGCACACCAGGCGGCCGATGCGGCCGAAGCCGTTGATTCCCAACGTGGCCGGCATGACTGCTTAGAGCCTGTTCCTCTGGGGGATAATCCGAAGGCAAATTGCCGCGGGCGCCTGGACCAGAACGGCAAGAGGCGGGCCAGGAAGGGCCATCCTCCTGCTCTTTGACCTCCTCTCCCTCCAGCATCTCCCTCCATCCTCCCTCATCGCGACTCCCTCTGCCCACCCCCCTCCCAAATCCATCATCGTCCTCCTCCTCCTCCCTCCTCCTCCTCCTCCTCCTCTCCTCCTCCTCCTCCTCCTCCTTTTGAACCTCCTTCCTCCTCCTCCTTCCTCCTCCTCCTCCTCCTCCTCTCTCCTCCTCCTCCTCCTCCTCCTCCTCCTCCTCCTCCTCCTCCTCCTCCTCCTCCTCCTATTCATCCTCCTCCTTCTCCTTCTCCTCTAAGCCCCTTTTGGCTCCGCCGTGTGTCGCTGGGCGCGCCGCCTCGGGCCGCGCTCGCCGCGTGGTCACGCCGGGAACGCTGACGCAGGAGCGGCGGGGCGCGGAGGAGGCGGCGCGCGGCGCCCTCCTCGCCGCGCACGCCGCCTCGGGCCTGGCTGCTGGCCACTCCCCCGCGGGAGTGCGCCTCCTGCGGGCGGCCGAGGGCCTCCTGCGCGCGGCGGTGGCGAGCCTTCGGGCTCCCGCCACGCCGCCCACGGCTGCGCCCGGCGCTGCGCCCAGCCGTGGGGTTGGTGCCGCGGGCCGCGGCGCGCCTGGCGCGGCGGCCAACGAGGCGGGCGTCGGGAGCGACGAGGACGGCGACGCGCCCATGGTCGGGGCGGCGGCTGGCGGTGGTGGGGGGCCGAGGCGGCGGCGGCGTCGCCCGCGCCCTGCCCCTGCGGCTGCCCCACATGGCGCTGCTGGCGCCGATCCTCCTCATCGTGTTCCTGACGCTCCTGGTGCAGCTGCTGCGGAATGTAAATATTGATCCAAATCTCTCCGCCCACAACCTTTTGATGCAAGAACAAATATATAGAGTATTGATTTGATCTTATTCCGATGTCAAGCTAGACAGTCGTAGAATGCGTCCACCCTCCCGCCACAGCTGGCGGGTCCAAGCCAAAAACGGCAATGGTGAACAAGAGAGTGCAAGCATGAGCGAGCGAGAGCAGCAACATAGATCCGCCGGTCCCCTTGTGGGGCCACCAGGCTGTAGGCGCGGGATTCGCAGTTTCCTGTGTCAGTTGTAGCTTGTAATTTCCAGTGTTACAGTTCTGCTTCTTGCTGGTTACTGTAACTAGTTGATTGACCGCGCGAGGGGGGGGAGGCCCAAACAAGATATTTAGCACCTCCTGTGCGCGTTGTCTGAATTGCTGGGGGGGCTCGAAATCGACACCCCTCACGCAGATCCGCGGGGTCAGGATCCAAAAACACAGGGGATTGCCACATTTCTGAAATTCGGTGCCACCCCTCACGCAGATCCGCGGGGTCAGGGTCCAAAAACACAATGGATTTGCCACGTTTCTGAATTCGGTGCCACACCTCACGCAGATCCGCGGGGTCAGGGTCCAAAAACACAATGGATTTGCCACGTTTCTGAAATTCGGTGCCACCCCTCACGCAGATCCGCGGGGTCAGGGTCCAAAAACACATGGGATTTGCCACATGTTTTAAATTCAATGCCACCCCTCACGCAGATCCGCGGGGTCAGGGTCCAAAAACACAGGGGATTTGCAACGTTTCTGACATTCGGTGCCACCCCTCACGCAGATCCGCGGGGTAAGGGTTCAAAAACACAAGAGATTTGCCACGTTTCTGAAATTCGGTGCCACCCCTCATGCAGATCCGCGGGGTCAGGGTCCAAAAACACAAAGGATTTGCAACATTTCCGAGATTCGGCGCCACCCCTCACGCAGATCCGCGGGTTCAGGGTCCAAAAACACAAGGGATTTGGCACATTTCTGAAATTCGGTGCCACCCTTCACGCACATCCATCGCAAGGCGTGGTAACCCGAACTGCGAGAACTCCCTCGGCCCTTTAATCGCAAGGTGTGGTAACCAAGCCCGTAAACCATACACGTCTTACCAATCGCCAGGTGTGGTAACCCCTCTTGTGATCAGTTGGTTTTGCTGATTGCGAGTCGGCTTTGCATGAAGTTTCGATGCTGCTTCACGACAGCGCCAAGGCCTCATGACTTAGCTTTTCCATGGCCCATTCTCCGAGAGAGGGGGCCGGCGGCAGGGGGCGAAGCCCTTGCGGATAATTCTAAACATTATCCTATATCTCACATCCTTGCTAATACTACTTTCACACAGGAAAGGGACACGTTGCTAAATAATGCCTTGGCAAATTCTGCAGCAAGCTTCTAGAATCTCCAATAAGATTATCGGCTCGAACGGTCAAGCTACCGTCCGTGCACCAAACAACAGATATCAAATAATAGAAATCCCATATTCTCTGCTCGAACGGTCAAACTACCGTCCGCGAATCAAGCAACAGATATCAAGATAAAAGAAATCAACGCACCTAGCAACATATACTAAGATAGAAGAAATCCACGCATTGAGCAACAGATAAAAAAAATACACCTGAGGTCTGCGCACAGAGCAACATATATCAATATATGCAATCGTCACCTGAGCTCTCGAGGGGGCGCTTTCACTCAGCATCTGTAAATAGCAATCCAAATCACTCATCATCCTCACCACCATTCACATCTGAGCCACTGCCTTGGCTGGCTCCAAGATATCGTCACATATGTAGTAGTGGGGATCAGCGTACACGCACTGCTGACTTGATGATGCTGTATGCAATGAAACTCTTGATGCTCGGGTCGAGGTTATAACTCCTGCTCTCGTCTGCATCCAGCTCGAGACACCGTCCTAGGCAATTTGCGTAGTGCCTGTCCTTCGTATAGATCGTCTCGTAGCTGTCGCCCTCGCACTTGCCACTCCTGCTTATCGTTGGTCCCATGGTCTCCAGCCACTGCCTCAGTAGAGCACTATCTCCCAGCATAATCGGTCCATCTCCCATGATCTCGTCGTCATAGGTCGCTGGATCGGCTCGTACTGCGAGGGTTGTCGTCGTAGCTTTTGGCGCAGCCTTCGCCGTCCTGGATGTGACCTTGACCAGCTTCTCGGGCAAGTCCGGCTTGAACAGGTTGTCGCTGCTTGAACTATCCACCTCCATCGGCTCAGCGGTGTCCTCGTCGTCGTTCTGCTTAAGCTGCATTACGTGATTGAATATGATGATACCCGCGATGATAGAGACTACTGTCACCACCGTAGGAGACATCGAAAGACAAACTCCATACACTGCAAGTGCACAAAGCTGAAACAGAACTACAACTCGGTCAAGTATATGGATGGTTCTCTGCGCGCCACTCCTCTCCATCGGGTAGTTGTCCGTTAGCTCTTCCGTGTAGAATGCCTCAACGTAGTCCTCGTCTTGAACCTCGTCCTTGTCGTCGTAGAAGCACTCGTCCACGTAGTTGTACGTCTCCACCGGCCACGTAGAGATCTCCTCGTCGTCCTTCCCGGCGTCATCGTACAGCTCCTGCTTGACGTACTTGGCCATCTTCGCGTTGAGCTCGTCCACCTCCTTGTTGGCTGCCACCTTCTCTGGTCCAACAAGCTTTCGTCCGCGTATTGATGGTGCCCTGTCATCAGGCCCAAGAGTCCACAAATTTGATGTAACTATCTTCCTCGCGTAGCCTCCTGGAAGTACTTTCGTCAAACAGTCCGCTAGCATCTGCTCGCTCTTGACCCACTTGATGCTGATCTCCTTGAGTGACTGTCGCAATATAGCCGCTTCCAGAGAAAGCCTCCTGTCCGTCATTGAGATCTTCTCCTTTGCGATCGCGTCGCACAGGCTCTTGCAGTCGGTCACCGAAATGAATTTCACCGTGCAGGTGTCGTGCACAATCTCGGTCATGTCCATCTCCGGGTACAGGATCTCCGCCAGGGTCGACCCTCGTCCATATCAACATGTCCACTGAGTCCGCACATGAGTAGGCCTCCGCTGATAGAGTAGATCGCACCACTCGTTGAATCTTGGAGGACTGCCACCCAACGCAGTGCACCTTGTACTTGTTGCCGTGGTCCTCGTTGATCTTCTGGTCGCCCAGCATGATGAAGTGTCCGCGTTGTGATCTGTGCTTCGGCAGATTGTCGAAAGCACTGTCGGTGACATTGATCACCATGGTCTTCCACAAATTCAGACCTGCTGAGAACCTAATCAGCAAGTCGGTCCGCTTCTGGATTCGCCTGATGGCCGCGCTGCCGTCCTGTAGGTCCTTCACCGTCGGAGCTCCCAGCGTAGATGCCAGTCGGGATGCCTCGAAGGCCCAGTCGAAGCATATCACTCGCGCAGCCCAGTGCAGTTGTCCAACTACCATTCGTAGTCCACGATGCTCTGCATGGGTCAAGGCGCCATCTGGTGCCTTGCTGCGCCCTCTGGAGATACGTACAGTCTGCATCGACTGCACGTAGGCCTCCATGGTGACGTTGATGCTGCCGTCCTTGTCCTGCTTGTAGGCCCGGCCACAGAACGTCGCCTGCTCCTTCCTCGCGTACTTGACCTCGCCATAGTCGATATCCCTCTGCAGGTCCTTCATGATATTGGCGCCCTCCGGGTCGTCCTGCTTGATGCCCATGGGGAAGTCGTCCACGTGCAGGCACATGATCCCGATGATCGTGCTCTCCGCATTGCGCTTGATGAAAGTCGCGGGCTCGAAGCTCAGGCCTTCCCATCCAAGCTTCGCGAGCATCTCGCGTAGTGCCACATACCACGCACGAGCTGCATCGTTGGTCCCGTAGATGCTCTTGTTTAACTTCAGCAGGTCGCCTACCCTTACCCCCGGGATGTTGCACTTGCCGAGGTTCGTCGGGATAAGGAAGTATAGCTCGCGTGTGATGGCTTTGCCTTGCAGACGGGCTCCCTTCACATCTGCGATGACTAGGTCCAAATTGAGGCTTGATACGATGCTGCACAATAGTAACGTCATCTGTGCTGAGACTGTAGGTGAGTCCCGTCATAGCTTGTCGTCAAACCCCTCCACGTAGCCTCTTCCACAAA